AGTTTGGACAACACTGGTCTCTATGTAGCATTTGGTGGCATCATAAGGTTATGTAGGATAAAAACACGGCAAGGGGAAAAGCCATGCTAAAAGCAACGACAGTATGTAGCTTTTTAAAAATAGAATCGTCTCTCCTCTGCTTTCCTTAGTTCCCACATGCTAAACCCCAAGATGATTATTGTTTGTGTTTCTCCATTAGCAATACATTTTTTGCTGAGATACCTCCCTGGAAAATATCCCATCCTTAAATGGGTCTTGGGTAAGAATTCAAGCAGTTCAGCCCTCAAAGGAAGCCGGGGGCCCTGCAGAGCCCACCAAGCAAGCTGCTTTGCAAAGTAGGCTAGGCTTGCTTGGAAAAGAGATTCCCGGCCCTCGCCAGGAGCAGGCTAGGAGTGCAGTGAAGGTCCTGAACTGAGATGGGCCGGGAGCGTTTTGGAGTCTTCTTTCTGCTCTCCTTCAAATGGGTGGTCAACTTCCAGTGGTTTCTTAGGTGGCCAGTTAAGAATGGTGGGGTCATTGGGCTTGTAGAGGGGCGTCCATGGGAAGGGGGGTGAAAAGGTCAAGATGGTGTGCGTGACTACCCAATTAAAGCCCCACTCTTTTGTTACGTGTGTAGCTGCTCTTTTGACTTGTTTTACCCTCTCCCCCAGATGCTCTTGGGTTGGCAGATTACAAGGAATTGGGGTAGCTCTGCGTTCCCCAACCTGGAGCCCCCCAGATGTGCTGAACTACCTCTGATCAACCCAGCACTGCAGCCGTCTAAGCTCTGGCAATTTTAGATCATGGCCTGCTTGGACCTAACCATGGTACAAACCTATCCCAGCAGGGCCTTTTTTTCTGCCACTGTCCTGTCTCTAGCGCAGGAGTGAGACAGGCACAAATTGTCCTCAATGGACCTGGTGTAAATACTGAAGTGCTATGCTCTCCCTTATTCTGACACCCTCCAGGGGCAGCCTGAAGGTGCATAAAGTGGGTTGTGCCTTGGAGGAAGTCAAGAGATTGGCAGTGATGAGGAACAGTGTTAAGAGAGAGAGGAGAGGGATCAGCAGTGGGGCAGCAAACACCATGTTGGTCTCCTGACCGATGGATGGATGGACAGATGGACAGACAGCTCAGTCTTGTTAGTCCATCTGGTTTGTGAGCTTCTGGCTTGGGGAGAAAAGCAAAGATGGTCCATGTTCAACACAACTCCTGGCGATTAATGGACACAACTCTGCAGTTTTCTTGCCAACTGAGGTTGACTATAGCTCTTTTAGGTTTAAGAGCTCTGGGTTGCATCCGACTATTCAATTTGGTCTCAGAAATTTTCTTGAGAGTAGAGAATGAAGCTTATTTACATAAGGGCGGGATGGAGGGAGAATTCTAATCACTATTCCCATTCTGGCAAAAACTCAGTGGGTTATTTTGTTCTTGGTTGATCACATTTGTTTTAAATGGAATTTTTGTGCTGTCTTGGGCTTCACCATGAGAAGGAAGAGCTTCACGTGCTTGCCTGTGCTCCTTTCATTCTGTAAATGCTCAGTCCCATTACATTTCTATGAAGCCCTTCACAATCAACTGGCATTTGACATTTTGATTAGCAATGCTTAAAAAGAATGGAAACAAGCTTATTCCGAATATAATTTTGACTACTTTTCTACAAGCCCAAGAAGCTATTTGAGCGAATATCGTCCAATTTTGTTCTAAAACATTCCTCTCTCTCTTTCTGCTTGGAAGATGCAACTGAGATATTAATGGCACAGTGCCTTGCCTTGTTGAATGCTTGTTTTATCAGTCCTAAATGGGCTTCCCTACCGGGAAGTCCCACTGAATTCAGAAGGCGATGCTCTTAAGCAGGCTTTAGCTTCAGCCTTTCCAAAATTTATATAATTTTGTTTTCAGTGAGTAGTAATTTTTAAATGAGAGGTCTTTAAACTGATTTTTAAAAAGAAGCTATTCTGGTTGGTTTCCTCTGTGACGACGACGTTTAAATCTTTGTGAGATAAACCATTTGCGCAGGGAAATTCTTCCTTACCTCCTGCTTTGATATCACCACAGCCTATTGAACAGAAGCTAAAGCAAGTTACTTGAAAAGGTACATTTAAAGATAGTCGCTCAAAACTTTCATAAATCTTGAAGTCCGTGACTTCAAAGGTAAGCAAACTAGTCCTACACTTGCATTTAAATTTAGTGAAATTACATGTATTGCTCACTGGGATGAAGCCTCCCTCAGGTCAAGCTCACCTCCTGGTGCCTCCTATGTGTATCCAGGTAGTTTTCTTGGCAACAACAGTAGGAAACTGGGCTGCCCTTCCTTCTGGAATGTTTGAAATACCCAGCTTGGCCACAATGGTGGTAGTTCCCCGTTCCAGGACTAAGCAGATCTGACTTTGGAGTCCTTGGGGATTCCAAAGTCTCTCCTATTAGTTCATATTATTGGTACCTGTTTATTGAATAATTTTAATAGGGGCTGGGGAAGCATGAAGATCTCTATTTTAGAACTGTTGTGGGAAACATGTGCTTTTCAGTGAGAAACCAAAGTGTTGGGAGATGGATACCGCTAAGTAATTTTTATGGCCATGCTCAACTACAGCGATGGCTGGGCTTCCCACAGATAAGCGGGTACGTAAGCCCACAAGGTTATATACCCTTTGAAATGATACGTAAAAGTCATAAAGGCAATGTAACATAGCATGGTAGCATAAACCAGTGTTTCTCAGCCTCGGCAGCTTTAAGATGTGTGGACTCCAACTCCCAGAATTCCCCAGCCAGCCACGTTCTCAAGGGCCATCTCCAGCTGCCTGTTTTTCCTAGCCCCTCCCCCTCCTCCCAATGTTGGGTTTGTGTCAAGGTATATTTGTGTCAAGGCAAAAGGGTTGGAAATAAACCAAAGCTGAGACTCTGCAAAGGTCACCCCCTCCCCGCATTTTGTTCTGTTCTCTTCGGGGTGGGGAGCAAATAGGAAATGTTTCTGTAGCCTTGTTTCCACGGTGGTGCGTTCTCCAGTCTTATATGTTTCAGCTCTGTATGTATCATATCACGTCTCTTTATATAGCTGTAGCAGCCCCGTACTTTTATAGCTGACAATGTGAACAAAATAAAGATGTCAAAATTGCAATACAATCTTGCTGTGCAGGCTTATGCCACTAACCTCTTGTTTTTTTTGGGGGGGGGGAGTGTTGGTAACTCTGTTTCTCTGACCCTCCTTCCGCAAAGCATTCTCAGTTGTGGACATTACTGGATGTTTGTGTGGGGTTACTGTGATTCAAGGGTTTTGTTGTAGACATTGTAGGAGAGCTATTTCAGTCTGTGGTGGCAAAAAAACCAGCAGCCTGCTGGCAACTTTTCCAAGAAACAATTTTTTAAAATAAAATAAACATTAAAAGGCATGTGCTTTTGTGAGTTGCACAAAACCGTACATTTTGTTAGCTGGAAAAAGTGCTATCACAGTCCTGATTTCTTGCTATCATAAACTAATATGGCTCTCCTCCTACAATGACTCTTAAACAGAGTCCCTACACCACCATAAATCAGGCTTAAATTCTATTTATTCATTTACGGTTAGTGACTAGTATACATAAGATTAAAAACAGATGTGAGCAAAGTCGTATTTATTGTAGTGCAATCTAAATAAAACGAGACAGAAAAAACTGTAGGACTACTTGCAAGTGTTCAGTGTGCGTAGCAACTGAACAAAATTTAACTACTGTATGTATAACATAAGACTCAGACCCAAAAAAAAAAAACCACAGATATATCTTCATCCCATGAAGTTTTCCAAAACAGGGGAAATTAAATTGGCCCCCAGATCTTTATAAAAGTTACAACAGTGTTATCTGCCATCTTGGAAGCATTGCAGCCAATGACCTCCCACGTACAGAATCTTTTTGCAGAAAAATAAAGAGCAGAATAGCAAAACTAGTCACTGGCTCTTTACATTACACCAAATCCATGATGAACCAAACTCAGAAGTTCCCTGGGGCTTATCCTGAGCCACAACTACTTGGCCACATTTTACGCTTACCCAGAAAATTGGCCCATAGCGTTTTTAATGTCAGTGGAGAGGCCAGTCTTGTCCTAGTGCAGAGGTGTGGGAACAATAGTTGCCCCACAACTGGAGCTGCATCAGAGCCAGCTGTTTCTCAGTGAGGAGGTGTGGGGTGAGGGGTCCTACAGGCATCCTGGCAGAGCCATATTCTGCGGCAACCCTCCTTTGGCTGAGCTGAAACTTCTTCCTAGCAAATAAGCTACTTCTGGTTTTTCTTTCAAAACATGCTTTTGCTGGAGTCCAGGCAGGTAAGAAATGCGGGAGCGCTGGCAGACTGAGGGGACAGCAAGGCGGTGAGGGACATCTAGGGCAGTGGTTCCCAACCTTTTCTATGCCCACACCCCTAGGAAAGGTTTGGTTAATGTTCGCACCCCCGACAAAAGTAGTATCACGTTTGAAGACGAAGAAGTCTGATTTCTAATGCGGGTGAACAAATTGAACTTAAAAAAATAAGCTTTTAACTCGGTGCATAAAATTGTCGCACCCCCTGGGGGTGCGGGCACCCCAGGCTGGGAGCCCCTGCTCTAGAGGAAGAGCAGTTTGAGGCGGAACCAGCGGCCGAAGAGACGGGGCTCCCCTGCCCAGGCTGCGTCTAGAGACCGGACGGCCGTTCTCCGCCCGGGGTGCGGGTGGACCGGACGGCCCCGGGCGAGCGCAGCCCCAGGCTTCCAGGAAACAGCACCGAAGCAGATCGCGCACAAGCGCGTCTATTCTTTAGGCCGTCCCTGGAGCTCCGAAATCCCTTCGGCGTTTTATTTCTTCGGCCGGGAAACGGGCTGCTCTCAACCCCAGGCTCCTTGTCCCGTCCAGGAACCGCAGGCACGCAACGAGATTGCTCGATCAGATTTTCGCAGAGATTTGCACCGCCCCAGAAGAGCCCCGGCCCGCTCCTTGGCAGGCGCCCGGCTTCCCCGAGCTCCAGGGCGGCTGCTCGGAGATGGGTCAGAGGCAACGG